TTTTTAAGAGAGCATACAGAAAATGGCATTTGGGATGGCAAGATGGCTCTGTGGATAAAGGCATCTGCCACTGAGCCTAATACCCTGAGTTCGATCTCCGGGATTCATATGGCAGAAGAACAGATTCCTGCAGACTGACATCTAACCTCCACACACGCGCTACAGCAGGATTATACCTACCCACATACATACACACACACACATACATGCATATGCACACACACGCACACCAATAAATGCAATTTAAAGTTTTTGATTTTATTGTGGTTTTATTATGACATATATAATTATGCCTTGCTCATATTTGCCCAGCACCCTCCTCTGAAAATCTTGAAGTAGCAGGACCCCAAACTCAGAAACCACAGATACATATGAGAATATAATTTTTTTCTTTTATGCGTAGGAATGTTTTGCCTGCATATATGTAAGTGTATCACATGCATGCCTGGTGCCCAGAAGGCCACAAGAGAGTGTTGGATCCACTGGAGAAGCCCCATGTGAATGCTGGGTTGACACACCTGGGTAGCGGGAGCTCCAACTGGGGAGATGCTTCCATTGGACTGGCCTGTGGCCATGTCTGTAGGGCATTTTCTTGATTGTTGAGTGATGTGGGAGGGCCTAGCCCACTGTGGGTGGTGCCACCCCGGGCAGGTAGTCCTATATCATGTAAGAAAGCAGGTTGAGCACAGGCCAGAGGAGCAAGCCAGTAAGGAGCCTGTGCTCCAGCTCCTGCTTCCAGGTTCCCACCCTGAGTTCCTACTTTGGGCTCCCTGATGAACTGTGACCCGGGCAATGTAAGTCAAAGAAATCCTTTCCTCCCCAAGTTGGTATTGGTCAGGGTGTTTTGTCACAGCAATTGAAAGCAAACTAGAACAGGAGGCTCAAAACTACCTATAACTCCACCTCCATGGGAATCTGGCACCTCAGACCTCCTTGAACACTGCACTTGTACACATACCCACACACAAACACAGGACACATATGAATAATTAAAAATTAAAAATAAATCTTCAAAAAAACTAGACAGCTGGGTGTGGTGGCACATGCCCTTAATCTCCCAGCACCCAGGAGGCAGAGGCAGGTGGATTTCTGTGGGATTGAGGCCAGCCTGATTTCCATAGAGTTCCACATCAGCCAGGGCTACAGAGACCCTGGCTCAAAAAAAAAGACAAATGAGAGCTAGGAAAGTAGCTCCAGTGCTACAGCACTTACCTAATATACACAAGACCTTGAGGGAAAAAAGACATAGACAAATGATCTTTAACTTCAGACAGGGTCTCACTTTGTAGCCCTGGATGGCCTGGAACTTATTATGTAGACCAGACTGGTCTTGAATTCAGAGATCTGCCTGCTTCTGCCACATGAGTGCTAGAATTAAAGGCATGCAGCACCACACCTGGTCTTTTACTTTTTTTACATATATATTTATTATTTTTATTTTATGTGTATGAGTGTATTGCCTGCATGTATGTGAGTGCACCCGTGTCATGCAATGCTGTGGAGGTCAGAAGAGGGCTTCGGATTCCCCTGGAACTGGAGTTATGGACGGTTTGTAGCCACCATGCGGATGCTGGAAATTGAACCTGGGTCCTCTGCAAGAGCAGTCCGTGCTCTTAACCACTGAGCCATCTCGCCAGCCCATATTTACCTTTTTTTTTTTTTTTGTCTTTTTGAGACAGGGTCTCCCTGTAGCCCCAGCTGTCCTAGAACTCATTATGTAGACCAGGCTGGCCTTGAACTCACAGAGATCTGCCTGCCTCTGCCTCCCAAGTGCTGGAACTACAGGCGTGCACCACCACGCCTGGCTTACTGTTTTTAAACATTGATTGATTTGACTCTGTGTGTGTGTGTGTGTGTGTGTGTGTGTGTGTGTGTGTGTCATAGCACTCACGTGGAGGTAATAGGACAGCTTACAAGATTCATTCTCTCTTCCCATCATGCAGATCCAAAAGATCAAACTCAGGCCATCAAGCTCACCAATACTTTTTGCTTGTTGTTTTTGTGTTTCGAGACAGAGTCTCATGTATCCCAAACTGGCCTTGAATTCTTCCTATGGAGCAAAGGATAACCTTGAACTTCTCATCCTCCTGCTTCCACTTCTTAAGTGCTGAGACTGCAGGCTTGCACCACCACAACCAGTTTACAGAGAGCTGGAGATAGAACCCAGGGGCTTCATGCAGACTAAGTAAGCACTCGACCACAGAGCTATATACCCAGCCCTTGGTATATTTTCTCTTAACAGGCAAGAACATCATTAAAATGGTTTTTTAAAATATCAGAAATAAGCCATTGCTATCTCATTATTAATGATATACAAATTAAAACAATGAAATATTTTTCACTTATCAAATCAGTAACTGTCTAACAAAATTATAACAACAGTTTTGCTAAGGTTCTAAGAGTTGGTGACATTCACACGGTCTGAGGGAGCATGTAGGCTGCTCCAAACTTTGGAAAACTGAATTTTATAGAATGTATTCAAAATTTGGAAGCACATACTCTATTTAAAATGCAAAAAGAAGGGGGCTGGAGAGATGGCTCAGTGGTTAAGAGCACCCGGGTTCAATTCCCAGCATTCACCTGGCAGCTAACCACCATCCATAACTACAGTTCCAGGGGATCTGACACCAACTTCGGATCTCTGTGAATATTGCATGACATGGGTGCACTTATGCACATACAGGCAGAACAATCATACACATAAAATAAATAAAATAGAGCCAGGTGTGGTGGCACACGCCTTTAATCCCAGCACTCGAGAGGCAGAGGCAGGTGGGTCTCTGCGAGTTCGAGGCCAGCCTGGTATCCATAGTGAGTCCAGGCCAGCTGTGGCTACAGGGAGACCCTAACCAAAAAAATAACATAATAAATAAAATAAAATTTAAAAATGTAACAAAAAATTTAAATGCAAAAAAAAAAACCTACATAGGGATGTTTGTTGCATTTTTTCTTTTTTTTCTTCTCCAAGATAGGGTCTCATGCACCCCAGGATGACCTCAAACTCAGTATGTAGCTGAGGATAACCTTGAAGTTCTGTTCCTCCTGCCTCTACTTCCCTCCCAAGTGCTTAGGTTACAAGCCTGTACAATCATGCCTGATCACTAAGAACAATTTTATTGTTATTGTTGGTGCAAGGTGTTAGGTTTGGGTGGTTTTTCATTTGTGTTTTGTTTTCATCTTGAGGCAGTCTCACTATGTAGCTCAGGCTAGTATCTGAATTTCTGGGCTCATGTGATTCTCTTGCCTCAACCTCCCAGGCAGCTGTGACTACAGGTATGCATCACCTCACCTGGCTCTTGTTATATAACAATTTTTAAAGTGCAAATTCACTTAAATGCCTAAAATGCACTGTTTTCTGGGCATGGGTCAGTCTCACACCTACAATCCCAACGCTTGGGAGGCTAAGGCAGGAGAACTGTAGAAAGTTGGAAGCCAGCCTGGGCTACAGAATAAAGGTCTGTTGCAAACAAAACCAGTAAAAAAAATGCACTTCATGGCACATTAGCACATTATAAGTACTCAAAAACACGCATTGGATAAAAAAAAAGTTATAGAAACTCAGAAAAAAGTCTGGAGGTACAGAGTATACCAGAGCGGTAAGAATGAGGTTCCCAGTGTGGAAGGCCTCAGTAGTGGTCAGCTTGTCTAGCATGCTCCAGATCCCAGAGTCCATGTACAACCAGCACCAAAAATAAAAGTGGTAAGAATGATTATCTTCAGGAGCACAAAAAGGAAAAAAATAAACATGTTTTTCTTTCATATTTTTGTATTCTGTATTTTGTATTATGCAAAGTATACACTGGTTTTAATAAATTTTAAAAATATTTTTATGTGTATGAGTATATTGCCTGCATATGTGTAAGTGTAGTTACATGTGTCATGCAGTTTCCTCAGAGTTCAGAAGGCAACGTCAGATCCTCTTGAACTGGAGTTACGGACTGTTGTTAGCCACCATGTGGACGCTGGGAATCAAACTTGGGTCCTCTGCAATGCTCTTAACCCCTGAGCCATCTCTCCAGCCCCAGTATAATCTAATTTAAAAAAATAGATATTTATTGTTGGGACTGGAGAGATGGCTCACTAGTTAAGAGCACTGGCTGCTGTTCTTGCAGAAGACTGGGGTTCGGCCCCCTCCACAGGCATTGCATGACATGGGTGAACTTACAATACATGCATGCATAACACATAATAAATAAATAAAATTTTAATTTATTGTTGTCTGAGTGTATGCCCACATACAGGTATTCATGCCTGTGCACTGATGAAGGCCAGTGAGGGCACTGGGTATCCTCCTCTATCATTCCACCTACTCCTTTTGAGGAAGAATCTCTCCCTGAACCTGGGACTTGAGTTCTCAGCTAGGCTGGAGGCCAGCAAGTCCCAGGGTCCTCCTATCTCCACCCTCCTTAGAGCTGAGTTTACACCCATATGCCAGTTGTCAGGCTGGTTAAGTGGCGCTTCTGAAAACTCATTTTCAGATTGTGGTTTAGGGTATACGGCAGGACCGCGCAATGATTGTTAACACCTCGCGCAGCTGACCTCCGGATCTGCAGGTCTGCTCCAGATGGCAAGCTCCGGGACCAAGTTAAGTGAAAAAACCAAGGATAAAAACTATTCTGGCTACTATTTGGGGCTCCGAACTCAGGAGTGACGGCAGAGACAGAGACAGACAGATGCGAAGCCTTTTCCAGCAAGCAACCAGTTCGCCCAGAGAATACCCTCTCAAAGGACACCCACGCACAGCAATTTCAGCCTGCTTTCTGCCCTCAGTCAACATGGCGGCCAAGGCGCGCACGCAGCACGGCGCACGCGCAGCCCTCGGTCCCACCGTCCTCCAGTCCTCCCGTGCGCCGCCCCGCCCCCTTGCCAGCTGCTGCGCTCGGCGTGTCCCCAGCCTCACCCCTTTTCTGGCTGCCCCCGCCCGGCAAGGCTCCAGAGCCCGGAAGTGGATGTGGCCGCACGGCGGGGAGGACGAAGGGGAGAGAGAAGTGCTTCCGGGGAAACGGGCCCGGGGTTGGTGTTTGTAAACTTGCCTCGGTCCCGGCGGGGGCAGCGCGGCCGCGGGCTTGGCACGGTGCGCTGCTGCCTGGAGGAGGCGCCTCGCGGTGGGGAGACGGCGGGGGGCCGTGCACGGCAGGTAGGCGCAGCCGGGGATAGCGCAGCGTCGTAAGGGCGGGCGGCAGTGCCTCAGCAGCTCGCAGGCCGTGGGGCTCCGCGCGGGAAGGGGGAGGGGAGCAGAGGAGGGGCACGCGGCGAGGGAGGGGGCCGCCGGGGGAGGGCCTCGCGCCGCCCCCGCCGTACCGCCCCTGCCGCAGAGGGGGCTCGAGGGAGGAGACGCGGGCGCGAGCACGCAGCTGGCGCGGCCCTCGGCGCTGTCGGCCCTCGGGGTGGCTGCGCTGCGGCTGCCTGGAGACAACCAGCCCGCCCTCCACGTCTGCAGCCAGTTTCCGTACCTTCGGGCGGACACGGAGGACGCTCACGCTTGGGCACTGCCAGTCCGGTTTCTGCCCGCCACCCCAGCGCCCAACGATGGCCCCCGAGCTTTCCCCCTGCTCGGTTCTGTCTGCGGCTATGGACTGCCAGCTTTGCAGGCCGGCCCACTCGGCACAAAAGCCCCAGAGGGCCTCCGCCCCCTTCTTCCGTTCCTAAGGTGGCAAATCCCAGCAGTTACTTGTTGGCAGATTTTATAGGAGGCCCAACTTACTTTTGCTCCTGTTGGCTGCTCCTCCAGGCCCAGGAGACCAATTTCTTCTACTGACCTAGAAAGAGCTCTTGACTCATGTCCTCTTACTGAGCTTCAGAGCATCTAGCAGAAAAGAGTTGAGAGCATCATTCATCGTAAGGCCTGAGGATGTTGCACTTAAGGGCCTCATCTTCCTTTCTGGTTTCAGGTTTCTGGAACAGACCTAGAGCTTCATCAAAAGAATTCAACTGGAAAACCAAGACTGGCACACTCTCGTCTTCAGACAATAGGCAGAAGTCAGTCAGAGACCACGGATTCTTGAAACACCTGGTTTCCCTTTGGAGGACACTAAATTCTTTCGGAAGACAAAGGCAGTTCAATATGGCAAATGGACTGAAAGGACAGGAAGGAGCCATTACTGTGATTTGGTGACAGTTCTTCAAATAACAGTGTGTTAAGGAAAACTGGATAAAGAACTCCTGAACTTTTGGGTTCATTAAGTGAATTATCAGCATGGCTCAGGTAAAAAGCTCTAGAGTCCTCCTTCAAGATCATTCACTGGGAAGCCTGTTTGCAATGTCACTCTTGAATGCTGCCTTAGTCAACAATATTGACCATCCCCAGTGAGCCGAGCTCTGTATTAAGCGCCAGGGGGAGATCTAGAGGAAGGAAAGGAGACAGGCCACAGCCCCTGCCTTCAGGGAGCTTCCAGTCAAATGAAGGAGGTAGGCTATGCTGCATCACAGGCACCAATGGGGCATTTACAAAGCAACTTGTGCTCAGTGCACTTTGGGTATGTTAAGTACTTGGGCATAAGGGCGTGAATAGTTTGGTGAATGCTTCATTTGTTTTTTTCAACAGAAATTTATTGAGCTCCTGTTACATGCAAGGCATTGTACTTAGAATACAAAGATGAATAAGATTGTCCTTGTCCCCAGTAAGCTTTCAGGCTACTCGGGTGGAGGGAAGGGATGGAAAGACAGCCTATTTTATTTTTATAGTCTTCATACCTTGCATAATGGCTGGCCAGCAGCAGAGACTGAATCTGTGGATCAAAGGCATGTGCAGTAATAGAGGGATGTTACTGTAGAGTGCTACTTCTCCCTGAACAGAAAAAGAAAACGAAGCTTGAAGGATGCATAGGGTTTTGCTAGATAAACAAGAGAAGGGCATTCAGACAGGCTAACTGTTGGCAGAGGGTTAGAGGCATGGGAAAAAGTGATGAACATCAGGGTACTACAGGTAGTTTGGTAATTAGGGAGCAAAGGATTAGATGGAGTATCAGTAGGGACACAGGGTAATGATTGATAGGGGAGTTGTTTTCTGAAGAAGTCAACAGAGTGGCCCAAAGGCTTTTTATGCCTTCCTAAGGAATTAGACTTTATTCTCTGGGGAAAGGGGACTCCCTAAAGAATGCTAAGCAGCAGAGTAATGTCAGGTCAGTGTTTGAAAAAGTAATTTTATTGTGAAGGTGGCAGGTGGATTGGAAGGACAAGATGACCAGAGAGGCTATTATTACAGTCATCTGGATGAAAAAGCTTGTGTGCATACATCCTAGACCTCCCCAAGCTGTCTGAGAGGGAGCCTCGTCCACCAGTCTCACCAGGATAGCAGCCTGACTACTGTGGGATTGGCTTTCTTCCAGCTGCTTCTGCATACACAGCTTCCTCTCCATGCAGAGTGGAACCCTCCGGTTTCTTCTTCCTTTGTCTGCAGCTTACTCCACAGCATTGTGTTCACTACTCTTCTGAAAGGGCTGCCTCTACTAAGCACTGACTTTCTGCTGAGCACTGCTGAGCCTTTTACATCTTAGTTGCATTTTCCTTGACCCTGTGAGGATAGGCATTTTGGCAGGCATTTTACATTTGATGGAAGTGAAGCTTAAAAGGTAGAGACTCGCCCAGAATGGCGCAGTGCATGCGGCAGAGCTAAGATTTTCAACTCTGGGCCTTTGGCTTCAAAGTTCCTGGAAGTCAAAGAAGGGGTCCCAAGACACATGGATCCTTCTGAAGGACTTTTTAAAATAAATCTGGGAGTTTGCCGACCAACTATTTAAAAGTTTTTCTTGAGTAAGAAAAGTTTACATTCTGAGCCAGGCATGATGGCGCACGTCTTTAGTCTCAGCTCTTGGGAGGCAGAGGCAGGCAGATCTTTGTGAGATTGAGGCCAGCCTGGTCTACGTAGCCTATTCCAGGCCAGCTGGGGCTACAGGGAGACACTGTCAACAAAGGCCAAAAAAAAGAAAGAAAAGTATTATGGAGTACTGGCTAAATGATGTCAGTTCAAAGAATGTAGTACTAGGCTGGGCGTGGTGGCTCACACCTTTAATCCCAGCACTTGGGAGGCAGAGGCAGGTGGATCTCTGTGAGTTCAAGGCCAGCCTGGTCTATGTAGTAAGTTCCAGGATAGCTGGGGCTACAGAGAGACCCTGTCTCAAAAAGACAAAAAACAAAGAATGTAGTACTAAAAAGAGGTTAGTCACTCTGTTTAAGTAATTTCAAGAATTTCACGTAAGCACCCCTTTTTAAATAACTTTATGTGCAGCACACATAGAAATGGCCTAAGTGGTCAAAAGACATTGTATATTCAACTCCAGAATCCAAGTGGTTTAGTTTTATATTTGCTGTAACTGACAACATTTAGAGAAGTCTAAAGAAAGAAACAGCCTGATAGGAGATGTAGTTGGCCCCAGCAAGGTCTGCCAATCCAAAATAGGTTGTGAATCTAAGGGCTATTGAAGGAAGGAGGAGGAGAGCCAATGAGATGGCTCATTGGCTAAAGGTTGCTGCCAACCTTAGGACCTGAATTCAGTCCCTGGAAGCCACATTGTAGAAGGAGAGAACCGACTCCTGCAAGTTGTCCTCTGACCTCCATACGTGAACCATGGCACACATGCACATACACAAAATAAATGAAATAAAACTCAAAAAAGAATGAGTACCCTAGGACTCTCCAGTTTCATTGTGTCTGCCAGACCCTCTTACCTACTTGCAGTTAAAGCCTAGAAATGCTTTAATACGTAGTCACGTGTTACAGTGACAAATCATTGAAACCATTTGATTATTGACTCAATCTATGTTTTGTTGCTAAGAGATGGAAAAAAAGCTAGTTCTTGGTTAAGTGAATTAGAAAGGACTTGAAGGAAAACCAGACTTGATAGCGAGGGGGTCATTCCCCCAAGAAAAGCACTTTATCGCTGGGTATAGAAGCTAGTTCTGTTGAGGATGGCAGCCTGTTTTGCCCTGCCCTGCCCTGCCAGGTGACCTGACACCTCATCTCCTTTCAACTTAGGCAAGTCTTCTGGCTTGTGAAGGCCTAGCAGGTGTGAGTTTGGTTCCCACTGCAGCCAGCAAGAAGATGATGCTGAGCCAGATTGCCAGCAAGCAGGCCGAGAATGGCGAGCGGGCAGGTAGCCCTGATGTGCTGAGGTGCTCGAGTCAGGTACAGCACTTGAGTCCATTGTAGCGCCTGGGGGTCGGGTGGCCCAAGCTCTCTGCCAAGAGGCACCAAGCTGTGGTTCCTCCCTGCTTTGCTTTGGTGCTTAAGATTAGGGAATTCGGGAAAGGGAACCCAGCTGGGAAAGAATGGGTGTTTAGAGAGCTAAGGAAGGTTTTGTATACGTACAGCCTCTTAGACCAGGAAAGGTGAAGAGGAAGCAGGTTCATGAGAGGAAGTAGATGTATGGAGAGGAAGCAGGTCATTTACTCTCATTTGTGAACTGTTTATTATGACGTGACATTTGGTTTCTCATCTTGTGTTCTGAAATGGACTATGAGTTTAGATTTGATTTGTCTTCAAAGGGCCACCGAAAAGACAGTGATAAATCCAGGAACCGCAAAGATGATGACAGCTTGGCTGAGGCCTCTCATTCAAAAAAGACTGTTAAAAAGGCAGGTAATGGGGTAATCCCCCAAATTCGTACAATTTGATAATGGGGTCCTCTTCTTTCTTGTCACTGTGAATCAAGTTTTTGTCCTAAACACTTTTCTTCCCTCATAGTTAATGAGTTTGTCCCCTGGTTTCATCCAGGATCCATTTTGGTGTCTACCCTTGCTGAGTATTCTTTGTACAAGTTGGGAAGCATGACGTATAGTGTGCCCTTAGATTAGGAGCAAGCCAACTCCAGCCCAGTCATACCAAGTGTTGACTGTGACATGGCAGGTGGCTCCTCCATTCCATCTCCTTCTCCTCAGAGCTCTTAGCCCAAGGGATGTAGGCGACCACACCTTTCACCATATCAGATTCCTGGTCTAGCAGCTGGAATTGGACCTAGAGTAGAATGGTCTCTAGGAAGAAGGCAGAGGGATACCCTCATAACATGCCTGATTGTTGCCCTCAGGTGGTGGTAGTGGAACAAAATGGTTCTTTTCAAGTAAAGATTCCCAAAAATTTTATTTGTGAACACTGCTTTGGAGCCTTTAGGAGCAGTTACCACCTCAAGAGGCACATCCTTATTCACACCGGTAAGTCTCTAGCCTGTATTCAAGCAGCTGTATTCAAAGGGAGAGAATGGTCTATAGCTTGTATTCTATGTCCAGCTGGGTTTATTTTCCAGGGGAAGTATTAGAAATGAAGGAAGAGGCTATGTTGAATGAGACATGGCTCTGTTTGGTATCACGGAGGCCAGCAACTTAACATATTTATGATAGCTAAGGTGTCAGGGAGACAGCTGGAATGTGGTCACTAACAAATTTCTCCTGATACTTTTTCCACCTGGCCCAGGTGAGAAACCATTTGAGTGTGATATATGTGATATGCGCTTCATCCAGAAGTACCACCTGGAACGCCACAAGCGTGTGCACAGTGGTGAAAAGCCTTACCAGTGTGAACGATGTCATCAGGTAAGGTTCACCTATCATCCCAGTAAAGCCCTGGTCTAGCCCCACACATTAAGTTTTCCTTCCCCCAAAAATTGGGCCAGGGGCTGGAGAGATAGTTCAGTGGTTAGGAGTACTTTCTTCTCTTGCAGAGTACTAGGACTCAGTTCCCAGCACCCACATGGCAGCTCACAACCACCTGTAACTCCAGTTCCAGGAGATTCAATGGCCTCTTCTGGCCTCCAAGGGCACCATACATGCATATATGCCATGTAAGCAAAACACTTGTACACATAAAATAAAAACTAAACAAGCTTTAAATGTCACCTGTGAAGCCAGGAATGGGGGCTCAAGAAGAAAAACAAAGTAAGAGCAGCCCCTGACAAGGGGCTTTCTTGCATTCCTTGACAAGATAGAGTTAGCACCTCAGAATGCATTGCATCTCTGGCCTTAAGCAGCTGATCATGGGAAGTGTTTGTTAGTGCTTGATATGATATCATTTCATGAGCTCTTTCTCTATGCCACGCACTGTGAGAGCATACTTCATGTAGAATTTGAGGAGTGGTAGGCAGGTCGTTTAATCTCCCATTAACTCCTAAGATAGCTGGGGGGAATTGAAATTTGGGGAAGTTAAATTCCCCATGGAAACAGCAGATCAGGAGTAGAGCTAAGATTTAGTCCCAACTAAAAGGCACCTGTGCTTTAGAGGAAGAGATGTCATCTTTGCCCTAGGGGTCAGTGTCTGATCTGATGCGAATGTAAATGTAAAGACCAAGCAAGACACAAACAAGAACTGAGAAGTCACTGCAGCCATTTCCTGGGTGCTCTGCTCCTCACACTTGATTGCATATTTACATTGAATCTCTAGAACACTAGAATGAGAGCTGCTGGTGGTAATACATGGCTGTAATCCCAGCATCTGGGAAGTGGAAACAGAGGAACAGAGTTTCAAAGGCACCCTCTGCTTCATGTAGCGAGTAGGAGCCCAGCCTGGACTATATACTGTCTCAAAGCCAAAATACTAAGATGAAAGTCCCATGAGGGAGCCAAATGTGGTGCACACTAAAATCCCAGCACCCAGGAGGCAGAGGTGGGAGGATAACGTTCTATGCCAACCTTAACTACAAAACAACTATTTCAAAGAAAGCTAAGAAATGTCTCATGAGAGCAGAGATTTTATCCTAGTTCTCCATCCTGTTCTCAAACCCAAGAAGTGTACTTGCCTCGAGATAAATATTTGATGAGGGGGTAGGGCTGTGTGGCACACTCCTCTACTCTGATGGTCCCACCACCCCTTCTGAACCTGTCCCCCTTCCTAGTGGTAGTAGAGTACTTACCTGGCATGTGCTACTCCTGGGTTTAATCCCCATTATGGCAAAATAAACTATAAATACTTGAATGAAACAACTATCCTGTACTAGGTTCTTTTAACCTGTTCCTGCTGATGAACAGTCAGGTTCAGGGCTATTAAATAATTTGTCATTGTCACATGACTAAGTGATAGAACCAATATTCAAACCCAGACCCCCTGGCTCCAGCACTGACCTTATTTTTTAAACATTTATGTTATTATTGTGTGGACATATCACAGGTGTAGAGGTCAGAAGACAGCATGTGGGAATCTGTTTTTTCCACCCATGTTGGTTGCAGAGACTAAACACAGATCGTCGGATTTGGCAGCAAGTACTTTACCTGCTGAGCCAGTTCACTCCCGCCGCCCCCTTTTTGGGGGGCAGGGTCTTATACTGGCCTCCAAATCACTATGTAGCCAAAGATGACCTTGAATTTCTGATCTGTCATCCTCTAACTTCCAAGTTATAGAATAACAGGTGCACCACCATACTCAATTTATAGGGTATTGAGGATCAAGTATAGGGCTTCATGCGTACTAGGCAAGCACTCTACCAGCTGAGTCATATCCCTAACCCCTAGCAGCAGCACTTTTTTAATTTATGTATTTATGTGTATGAGTGTTTTGCCTGCATGTAAGTGCACCCATGTCAGGCAGTGCCCACAGAAACCAGAAGAGGGAGTCACATTCCTCAGGAACTGGAGTTACAGAAGGTTGTTAGCCACCATGTGGGTGCTGAGAATTGAACCTGGGTCCTCTGCCACCAGTGCCCTTAACCACCAAGCTATCTCTCCAGCTAGCACCAGCATTCTTAACCACTATGCACGCAATACTGTGCATATGCTGAGGGGCTGAGGCTGTAATACGTGTTCTCTGTGAGGAAGGTATTGTAACAGGCAACTAAGTTTTTCCTCTTAGAAACCTAACTCTTTCTCTCTACAGTGTTTTTCTCGGACAGATCGATTACTCAGACACAAACGGATGTGCCAAGGATGCCAGTCCAAGACTTCTGATGGGCAGTTTTCTCTATAGGCGCAAGGGGTCCTGGGTGGTGGGAGTGATCAGAAAAATTTACCGAAGAGCATCCCCCTCTGCTCTGATGGTCCCACCACCGCCCCCTCTGAACCTGTCCCCCTTCCTAAAGGAGTGGACCCAGGAGACCAGAAGAAAGTGGCTCCAGAGCCTCAGCTCTGTGTATAGTCTGTGACTATGAGTATCTCGGGGAAGTTGTTACAGCATTCCTGGGCAGGGGAGCTAGTCCCTGGACTCTTGGCTGAGGTCATAGTTGGGGACTCAAGGTACAGGACCAAGACTGAAGTGTGGTTCCCACAACCTTCGACTTGAACTGGCAGCTGAAATGGAAAAGATTGGGGGGAGGGGATTTGTTTGTTCGCTCTTGTTTTTGTTTATCCAAAAGCAATTTCAGCAGGTAAACTGTGGATACAGGTAATCTGGTGGCATAAAGTCCTTGTCTAAAACAGGGACTTAGAGCTGGACCAGCCTTTCCGCAAATTTGAGTTTTTAGTTACAGTAGATCCTCAATGTTCCACAGCCCTGCATCTTACCTCCTGTTTGAAAAACAGGACCAGGGATGGCAGCTGAGCTTACTTAGCTTTCCTATACACTGTAGGGACATAAGGAAAAACAGTGGGAGAAACACGTGGGCTGGACCCAAGTATACCTTTTATCTCTTCAAGAAGAGCAGTGTTGTGCCCAGGGGTGTTATCTCGGCCCATACCATACTGGTGCCTGATGAGGTCAGCCCAAGTGCCTTTTGGAGGAAACTTGGGTGGGGTGGCCTGGGTAGCCCTTTTTCTCTGGGCAGTTGGTCTTGGTTATGGTTTGTGGCTACCTCACTGTTCTTGACTCCAAAAGCCAGACAGCAGTGTTGAGTAGGGAGTTCTGGTGTCAGAATGGGCTGTCCCCTTGTGCCCTCTTAGAACTACAACTGTTTGAGGAACAAAGGAACTTAATGGCCCTTGCTTGAGTGTTGAATGATAGGCCTTTCTTCCTGCCCACGCCCATGTCTTGTGACTGTATTCAGGTAGAGGAGATGGAGGTCTGGGCTTTTGTCCCAAAGAACATGATCTTGGTTTCCTCCTTGATGACCCTACCTACCCAATGGGGAGGAGGGATACGACAGAGGAAGGACTGCAAGAAGACCCCTAATGTGTCTGCTTTATTCTTATCCTTGCTCTGCTCCAATACCCCCCATCCTGTGCACCCCTGAAAAAGTGATCAGGTCTGTTTCTGTGATTTGTGTTTGTGTATGTTTGCTTGGAGGGGATGGCAAATTAGTGAATCAGATTTATTTGGTCATCAATAAGAGGACAGTGAGTATAACATAGCCTTCCCAACAGACCTGAAGGGGGCCTGTGCCCCAGAGGTGACTGAGAAAGGAGCAGAGGGGCTTTGTTCCAGGAGTGGCTTTTTGTTTTTAAGATTGATTTCAGTCTACTGGTTAGGATGTTTCTAAGCCAACACTTGTGAACATGTAGTTTCTAAAGTGAAACTCTTCTTCCTGCTAAAGAAAGGATCCTTAAGGGAGGTTCTGGGGTTTGATTGAGCACCATCTCACCCCTGGTTGCCTGCCCAGACCCTAGGGATAGGGATAGGGATGGGGGGTTGCCTCAGGTGTTATCATGGAGACTGAGCCTGAGCACCCAGCTGTAACTGTTGGCTGTAGCCTCTTCCATTGTATAAGGAGGGTACTCCATACCTGTAGGGAAGGAGGACACCAGGGAAAAAGTGAGATGTGGCACCCTTTAGCTTTTCTCTGGTGGTATCTGAGAGCCTTGGTGGGGGGAGCTAGGAATGTTTACTGCCACATGTTCTAGCTTTGTGCTGTAACTCATTTGATATGCTCTAGAACCTGTACCTCAGTCTTTAGATCCACTGTGGCCCCTGCAAGCAGGGACATCTTTCTGCATGTAAACCAGCCCCTTTCCTCTTCAAGGGTTCTGCTGGGGCTGGGATTTTCTTATCATTCAACTCTGGGAAAGAGGATACATTAAGAAAGATATCCTCCCAAAAGTGCTTCTGAAAGTGGGACCCCTCCATGCCACTTGCAGGTGATCTGTATGTGGGGAGAGAGTTACATAAGTAACCTGTGTCTCTACATATGTGAATGTGTACTGGTCAGAGTAGGCCCTGCAGATCTTGGCTTCCTGCCTGGGTATAAACTGGGAGGGAAAGAATTGTGTGTATAGATGGCCCAACTAGAACTATCACCCTGCCAAGGCCTGGGTGTGGGAAGTTCCGGAGCCAGCAGTGGTCCACTTTTTCAGGGCCAGTGGGTATGAGGATAGACAGGCTATGAGGTAAAGATCAGTTGAACACTCAAAGGGCTCAGGAGCCACATCTCTACCCCAGGGAAACCACAGACAGCTGCAAAGGTTCCTGGGCCTGATGCCCCACTTCTCAGGGGTGGGGCTAGCACTGGGGATCCCTCAGGTGTGCATTGAGGGGAAATGGAGATAGGACAGGTGCTCAGAGACAAAGATGTGAATTTGGGGAGCTGGGGAAGAGTATCAGTTCTGCCTGTGTTCCAATGGGCTTATTCACCAGACCCTACCAATCTTGCCCTTCCCCAGTGCCCCATCTCCGTCGACCCCTAGCAGTTTCTTTTCGTCACTTAGCTACTGATTGTGCCCCATGGCTTGACATTGGAGTGTTAGATGAGTGGAGTCCCACCACAGGGTTTATGCCTTTCCCTCAGGCATGTGCTGCCTCTGCTATGGCACTGGGGCTTTTATCGTCAATCCCCTCCTACCTTGCTCCACTTTTTTTTTTTTTAATATACTTATTTTGCTATGGGGGAGGGGACTATCTAATGAACAAGATCACTTTTAAATGGTAGTTTTTATAAGATGTTATAAACTCGTATCTTTTTACCATTAAAGTGCAGTGTCTGTTCCTTCGTGATATATTTAGGATATTTAAATAAAAAGAATGGAGCTTTTCTACATTCCATCTCTTTGACAACTTCTCTGTTGAGCCAGCTTTTTCACTAGAGGCCAACACGGTTTTAACAGGTTTCCTTTTCTCCTCTCTGTATAACAACCCTACAACTTTCAGTAACAAGCCGCCTGTTAAAGCACCTTTTCTCCATGAGAAGCAACAAGTAGACGCAAAAGTGCTGTCATTTCTGAGGAGAAAAGACTTGCCATCAGGACAGGGTCAGATTACAGACCAGGCAATGTTTCTCAGGGTGGTGACTCTCCAGCCTCACCTGAGATTCCAAGGCCCAGCTGTTCCCAGGCCACACAACAGAAGCCAACCTCTCCCTGGCCTCAGGTGGCCTGAGACCTGGGCTAGACAGTCTGCTTGTGCCTTGGTAGGGCAAAGCAAAGTGATAGCTGTAGTCTGAGGTAAGACTTTATTGTACTCTTGGGTAGAAGAACCATAGTTCTCCACAGTGAGGTGGGGAGTGGGGCTGCAACAGAAGGACACAGCCCTCTGTCACTCTGGAAAAGAATGAAGTGATGGCTTCAGTGGTGTTAGTGCTGCCTGACAAACCTGCCATGCCATTCCCACTCTCCTCCCAGACAGAAGCATCCTGGGTGAGTCCTAGTCCCTCTTTGAGAGGGAAGGTCTGTCATCTGCCCCCTGGAAGCGGGGATTGATAGTGGTTGTGATGGCACTTTGGTAGAGAGGATTGCTGTCCTGTGGGGAAAGGAAAGAGGAAAGATCTCAGACTCATCTAGTCCTGTGAGGACAACCTAAAACTTTAAGCAGGATCCTTGAGGGCCTGGTTACAAGTAAGGCAGAGAGGAACCTGGGTGGGGAAGCAAGGAAGAGAACTCACCCAGGAGGGCAAACAAGGAACATCCCGCCCACTGCAACAAAAACTGCTCTGCTCACCTGATTCCAGCTGAGTTGCTGCCGCTCCTTCTCAAAGCGGCTGTACTCCCGCCGATCGTAGATTTCCACTGAGAGCCGGTATGCCAGGACTAGCCCCAGTCCCACTGCCACGATGCCCCCTATACAGCCCAGCACAATGGCCTGGGTGTGATCTGCTCCCTCTGGAGGGACCAAGGGATAAAGACAACCACAGTTACCCATGGGTCCAACCTCAGCCCTGTCACTAAAAACAGGACCCAGCAGAGTCTAAGGTTGTGCACCTTAGCTTCCTCCCCTTTGTCCATCACCTCTGCCTCTGCCCTGAGTTCTCAACCATGTTTCAAACCCAGCCAGCTTTCCTACGCTCCTCCTGTCCACATCCCCAGTTCTGAGGCTCTGCCCAGGGCTCCACTTAGCATGTCTGTGGCATCTCTGCCCACTTACTCTCTGGGGGTCTCACTCGCAGCACAACTCCTCCAGCCTCGTTCTCCACCAGGAAGAAGAACAGCCGGTTGTCTAGAGTCCTTTCTTTGCACCAGCCATCATCCAAAATAGGGGCTGAGGCCAAGGTCACATTGACATCTGCACAAGCCATGCTGCAATTGGCTGCCAGGGGACCAGTACCAAAGGCCCCACATTCCGCACAGTCCCTGTCCAATGGATACCAGTAAGTTCCCAGATGGACAGTTGTCAGGTATGGGCCCTCACCCACACCCCCTCAAGGACAGCAGGCAGGTTGGAGTGCTCAGCAAGCCCCACTGTGCCCCTGCTCCCAGGATGAAAGACCTGAGGCCTCACCTGTATCTCTCGCATGGTGTCTTGCAGTCTAGGCACTGGTCACACAGAGCCCCATAGTAGCCATCAGAGCACTGGCAGCGGTTGCATGTGCAGTTTCCATGCCCACTGCAGAGCTCTCCCTTGGGACTGACACAGCTGTCCTCATCCATACTGCACTCACATGCTCTGCCAGTGCGGTTGGCATGACAGTGACACACCCCACATTGGCAGTGGCCAAAGCCTGGGGAAGAGCCATGGGGAAGGGTCACCCTATGGTGACCACCATTCTCACACAATTGGCCACAGCAAACCACCACAGTCCATACAAGTGTGCCAGCACATCCAGCTCACACACCAGGATGTTTGACATTTTCCTTCAGTGCCACGAGCCTCAGAGTCTATGTGTCCTAGGAAGAAGCCCTCTGACCCTGCCTTTCCCCCAAAGCTGCAGGTACCTCCACAGAGGATGCCTTCGTGTCGCTCACAGCTGGCATCATCACACTCGCACAGACGCCCAGAGCTCTGTCCACTGCAGCTGCAACGTCCACATTGGCACCGTCCCTTCCCACTGCATATGGGCCCTGTCCCATTGGGGGCCCGGCACCCAGATTCCAAATCTGGAGAGGACAGTTCGGCCTCAGAGCACTCACACAGCTGACCCAGGCGTCCTGGGGCACAGCTGGCAGGGGAAAGCAGAGAGAAGGGTAGGTCAGAGTTTGACCATCTCTGACTTGACTCTCAAGATCCTCCAGGCCCATGTGCTCGAGGGAGATGGAGACAGAGAGTGGCTGGAGGGATACCAGGATAGAGTAAAGTACCATGAGTGGAAAGAAGTTCTAGGAAGGGAAAGGCCTTGATGTCTAGGAAGCGTCAGGGCATTCAGGTGGAGTCTGGGATATCCAGGAGACTCCGGTGGAACGGCAGAAAAGAGCAGGAGGGGGTCACTTGTGGGAAGCTAAAAAGGGTACAGGAGGCCCTCACCTGCATATCCCACAGTGAAGATCCCCCTGGCCATCACTGCAGTAGGGAGCATGGGGCTGGGTGTCACTACAGTTACAGTCACACAGTGTATGCAACTCCACAATTAACTCCTCTGAGAAGCCAAGGGCCCGGAGCCGCAGGAGATGGGGTTCTGAGAGGCAATGAGTGGCTTGGAGTGTAACCCAGAAATCCACCTGAAGATAGGACCCAGACTAAGATTATACACAACACACTTGAGGAAGACCCTCAGCCCCCTTAAAATGGGTGGAAGCGTACTCCTGCTCCACACTTCTCCATGGCTGCTTCCCATATTTCCTGCTTCCATTTCCCACTCCCAAGTTCTTCCATCTACCTGTCCCAGCTGGCTCTCACCGTTTGGTTGACTTGGACATGGTTGCACTGTCCCCGGTCCCCAGCTTCACTCTCCCTCTTCTCAGAGCCCCTACAGTGAGATTCATAAGAGATGTTGACCTCAGGAGGTAGTGAGGAGTGTTCAAGAGTCACAGTGGATGAAAGGCTCTGTGGAAAGAGAGAGAGGAAGGTACCATGTGAAGCCAGGCCTCCAAACCCCACTTTCTGCCTTCCCAGCCATTCCCAATTCTGCTGGCACCCTGCTCTCTTTCACTCTGGGACTCCTTCGTCCTTCCCAGTGAGGAGGTGTTTCTAGAAGGACCTGCGTGGAATACCCAGGATTCGGAGGCCTCTGCTACAGTATGGGAGCCCAGTGGCCAGAGAGGACTGTGGGGCTGCATCTAGTGACGGTGTTTGTCAAATCCAAACCAGGACACACAAGCCTATGTGTATGTAAGCTTCAACAGACAGACTCATTTCAGTGAGTTTATTCTGAGAAGTTAACATTGCCTCAAATCTTTTCACCATGGTTGAGAAATTTGTCTTTAGGCCTGGCATGGTGGTACACGCCTTTAATCCCAGCACTTGGAAGGCAGAGGCAGGTGGATCTTTGTGAGTTCAAGGCCAGCCTGGTCTACATAGTGAGTTCCAGGACAGCTGGGACTGGACAGGAGACCCTGTCTCAAAAAGACAAAAAAAAAAAAAATTTGTCTTTGATAGAGACAATGATGGGAACTGAACCCAGGGCTTTGAGCATGCTAGGCAAGTGTTCAACCACTGCAGAATAGTCCTGGCACAATTCATCAAGGTTGAGAACACGATCCCTGTCGTTTGTTTGTTTGTTTGTTTGTTTGTGTAAGACACGGTCTCATGTAGCCCTAAATGTCTTTGAACTCTGGTTCTCTGCCTCTCAGGTGTGGGATTATAAATATAGGATACTACATCCAGCTGAGGATATGGTCCCTGTTATCAAGAGATCTATAGTCCATAGCAGAAAGGGGGCTTATGGCCAAGAAACAAGGCTTATCAGGGTTCCCTCTCCTGTAAAACTCTCTGGTTCTGAATTGGTATAAGTTTAATGCATGTATGGGATCTCCCATTCTGTAGGTTCAGCCATTTCCATCAGTTACCTGTGTCTATTTCCTCTGTAAAATAGGGATGATAATAGTTATAAAGCAGATGGGGTTCAGGGCCCAGTGGCACAGGCTGGTAATCTCACCTACTTGGAAGGCTGAGACAAGGGGATGAAAATTTCAATGTTACATAGCAAATTCAAGGCCAGCCTACGAAATTTACTGAGATCCTATCTCAAAAAATGAAGAGCATGGTGGTGCACTCCTTTAATCCCAGCACTCAGGAGGCAGAGGCAGGCGGATCTCTGTGAGTTCAAGGCCAGCCTGGTCTACATAGAGAGTTCCAGGCCAGCTACAGGGAGACCCTGTCTCAAAAAGACCAAAAAATAAATAAATAAAATAAAAAGGCTGAGGATGTAGCTGTAATTAGAGTGCTTGTCTGGCATACAGAAGACCTTGGCTTTAATCCCCAGCATAAACTGGATATAGTGACACACACCTGTAATCCCAGAGCTCAGAAGCCAAAAGCAGGTGGATCACCACAAATTCAAGGCCAGCCTGGTCTACATAGTGAATTCCAGGCCAGCCAAGGTATATAGCAGCCCTGTCTCCAAAAATAAACAAAAACTTAAAGTAAAAAATGCTTTAAGTTGGCTCAGTGGGTAAAGGCGCTTGCTACTCAAGCCTGGCAACCTGAGTTCAATTCCTGGAACTCACATAAAGGTTTAAAGGAAGAGCTGACTCTACAAAATTGCCTTCTGGCCTCCACACACTCCACTGTGACCCGTGTATACCCATGTACACACACAGCAATAATACTTTTAAAAAAAAATTTAAAGCCAGACATGATGGGTATACACCTTTAATCCCAACACTTGGGAGGAAGAGGTAGTTGGATCTCTATGAGTTTGAGGTCAGTCTGGTATGTTTCAGGCCAGCCAGGGCTCTATAGTAAGACCCTGTCTCAAAAGAAAAAAATGTGATTTTTTTTGTTGTTGTTTTTTAATTTTATTTTATAGATATAGTTTGTTATTGTTGTTGTTTTGTCTTTTTGAGACAGGGTCTCCCTGTAGCCCCCGCTGGCCTGGAACTCACTATGTAGACCAGGCTTGGCCTTGAACTCACAGAGATCCTCCTGCCTCTGCTTCCTGAATGCTGGGATTACAGGTGTGCACCACCACGCCTGGCCTCAGTGGGTTTTTTTAAAAGAGAAAAAGCATGAAGTTGGGAAAGAAGAGGGCAGAGGAACGGAAGGGAAGGAATGGGAGTGGGTTTAATCCAAACACATTACATATATGTATGAATATTTTTAAAAATACATTAAAATTTTAAGTGAAAAGAGACAGGGATGTAGCTCAGTGGGAGATGTAGCTCAGTAGCAGACTGAGTGCTTGCCTAACAGGGACAAGACCCGAGGCTCAAACTCCAATATGGCAAACAAAAAACAATTGCTTTAACTTTTATTTTATGTGTATGCGTGTTTTGCCTGCATATATATAAGTGCATCTGTGTCATGCAGTGCCTGCAGAGGCAAGAAGAGGGCTTTGGATCCTCTGGAACTGGAGTTACAGACTGTTGTTAGCTGCCATGTGGGGACTGGGACTCAAATCCAGGTCTTCTGCAAGAACAGTATTGCTCTTAACCACTGAGCCATCTTTCCAGGCCCTCCCCCAATTTTTAAAAAATATAATTAAGGGATGGAGAGATGGCTCAGTGGTTAAGAACACTGTTCTTGCAGAAGACCCAGGTTCAAATCCCAGCACCCACATGGCAGCTAACAACTGTCCGTAACTCCAGTTCCAGGGGATCCAACAGCCTCTTCTGTCTTCCGAGGGCATTGCACGACATGGGTGCACTTACCTACATGCAGGCAATACACTCATACACATAAAAATAATAAAATATTTTTTAATATATGTATATAATTAAATTTATGATGTGCATGTGTGAACAGCCAATGACAGCTGTGTGCAAACTGTAGGTAGGAGCTGTGGGATAATAGAACCCAAAAGTGATCATGCCCACAGGCCCACAATCTGAGGACCTCCCACCAATACCTACCCTCGTTGCTCTCCCTCACTCACATCATATGCTTCCATGATGAGCTGCACCACATTGCTGGAGTCCTCACTCAGCTCCCCTACAGCAGACTTGGGAATCAACTGGCTCAGCTCCTTAGTTAGGAGAAGAGAGGGGGATGGTGAGATTTGGGCTCCTAAGAGAATGGGCTCCTGGGAGTCTGAAAGGGGGCACAGGAAGGTGGGGAGAATAGATCCTTGGGGGAGGATTGAAAAAGGCAGGGGGGGTCTTTTATTCAGACAGCTCTCACCTGATAGACAGGCAATGTGGCACTGGTGACAGCAAAGATGGGCTGGATGTTTGCTGCAGTGAGGGCCTGGGCTACCTGTCCCACAGAGGGGTAGTCCTGGAACAAGGAGGCGAACAGGTGACTACTACAGGTCTCCCTACAACATGTCAGGTACCCTCAGCCCCAAAAATCCAAGACCCAGAGTTCTACCAGCCAGAGGAGATCTGAAGGATGGGCAGAGGTGGGACATAAATGGCACAGCTTTCCCGGTGGAGCAGTTAGGGACATGAAGAAGGAGAAATGCTGGGGAAGATGACAGGGTTACAGGATGATTTCCAGTGAGAAGTACAGGTAAGAAGAAGTACAGCCAGCCTGGTGGTGCACAACTTTAATCTCAGCACTTGGGAGGCAGAGACGAGTACAGGTAAGAAGAGGGTTCTGGCCCAGCCAGCCTGGTGGTGCACAACTTTAATCTCAGCACTTGGGAGGCAGAGACAGGCAGATATCTCTGTGAGATCAAGGTCAGCCTGGTCTACATAGTAAGTTCCAGGCCAGCCGGAGCTACAGGGAGACTCTGTCTCAAAAAAAATAAATAAACAAATGAAATAAGGGTTGTCAAGGAAGAGGTGTGGCTCAGATGGGGAAGGAGGGAGGGCTCGGGCAAGGGGACACTCACAAACTCAGCACTGCGACTGTAGATGCCATTGCTGTCCAAGTGGCAGTGCCCATCACTGGGCATGAAAATGCCACCCAACTTCCCATCCCCAGCTGTGTGGAATGTATCATCTGATGTGAACACCAGCAGTCGGGACACATTTCTCCAGCCAATCTGCTCCTGGGTTGGGCGTGGGGAGCAGGCTGTACTCCTGGGCATAGCATTTGAATCACTCTAGCCAAGGATGTGGGCAGTCTCAAGGATGTGGGTGCTGGATTAGAACCCGGGGTCAGTTTGTCCATTCCCCTGCCTCTAATTCCCTGTTCCAAGCTCTCTGCAACCCCCTAAATAGGACTGCTGCTAGTAGGGGCCTTCTTGTGAATTAGGAAAATGTTCCCCTTCCTGGAGTTTACACCAGCCCACCAGATAACTGCTCAGATAAATCTGCAGACCACAGTGAGATGATGTGAATGACATCCCCTGTGACTTGGATCCCTGCCCCATCTCCTCACCTGACAGAGGGCAGTCTGCAGAATGGCATCAAAGCCACCCTCAGGTGAGTCCAGGTTGCCAGACACACTCTGCTGTCCCACCTCTTTCTCAAAGGCCTGAGCATCCCCAGTCAGGGACAGCACATGGCGAAAACTGAAGGGTGATTGGCAGCGCTCCAGTCGGCTGGGGCAGGGGTGGCGCAGCTTGGAGGGCACTGTGCTCACAAAGGGCAACACCGTTTTGTCCACGAAGGACCCAAAACCTGGAAGCAAGGAGCCATGAGGCTGTGTGCCAAAGGTCACAAGGCTGCAGCAGGATGGGAGGGTCACTGCCGAAAACTCAGAAGGGAGGGACCTAGCACTTGGCAAAGGCAAGAGTGTGGTACCACCAACTCAGGGAGGTAGGGGCAGCCAGGCCAGGCTTCCTGGAGGTAAGGAGGTCAAGGGTATAGACGCATAAGGAGGTGAAAGAAGGGGCTCTTTCTTTACATTTTGTTTATTTTTATGTTATGTGTATGAGTGTTATGCCTGTGTGTGTGTGTGTAAGTGAACTCGTGCTTGCAGTTCCCACAGAGGACAGAAGAGGGTGTGGATCCTCTGGAACTAGAGTTATGGCGGGTTGTTAGCCACCATGTAGGTGCTGGATTAGAACCAAGGGTCTTCTGCAAGAACAGCCTGTGCTCTTAACCATTGAGCCATCTCTCCAGCCCCAAGAGGGGGCTCTAAAGCAAAGGAAAAATTCTTACAGAATGCGGACCTGGGACATTGCATCTAGTCCTGTCCAAGAGACATTGGGTTGAGATAGTAGCATAAAAACAGTGTCCAGGTTGGCAGCTGTCTGAACACCGGTCCCTCAGACACTGAGCCTCCTAACTGAGCTCATGTAAATCCAGGGGTCCTCTTACAGTCAATCCTAACACCCCGTCCAGTTTAGACCTAGATGAGTGTCTCTAGGAGGAGATGTCAGGATCCAGTGGCCTGGACAAATCTCTTAGACGCTGGGAAAGGCAAAGAAGGCTAAGCAATAGAAGGAGCTAAGGGCAGCAGCTATGGCTAACAGGATAGTGGTAGCGCTGGCTCACCAATGCGCACTGAATGGGTGACCTCCTGCAGCCGGACCAGCAGGGCGTGCCCCAGCTGGCGCACTCGTTCCAAGTCGTCCTTCATGGAGTAGCTCAGGTCCATAAGGTAGTACAGGTCTACCGGGTAACCAGCAGCTCGGAGGAAGCGGACCCGGAGTTTCTGGGGCTCCCCTGGTAAGAGACAGAGGGAGCTCGGGTCAGCAGCCCACTACATCCGAGGCCCAGCCCGGACATCCAGCCCCGGCTGCCTGAGACTCACCCGGCCGCAGCGTGACCCGGACGCGCTGCGGGGCCAGTTGTGTGGCCCCCTCACCGCGGATGCCCTGGCTGAGCGGCCGGTCCTGCAGCACCTCCTGGCGGCCGCGGGGCTCCTCCAGCTCCTGCGCCGGGCATCCGCGGGCCAGCAGCTCCTCCCGCCGAGCGCAGCGCCGAGCCTCCGCCTCCCCCGAGGCGGTGAAGTTCTAGGCCATAATGAGGGAGAAGGGGTAGTGAGTCGGGATCCCCAGTCCTCACAGCCCCTAACCCGGTTGCCAGGACCACCCTGCAAATCCCGCCGCCTGCCCCTGATTTATTCCCACCCTCCTCTTGCCTCCACAGCTACCATGGAAGTTGGTCCTTTCTTCCTTTCTTCATCAGAGCCTCACTTCCTGTAACAGTCCTCCTCTCCTCTCTTGATCTCTGCTCACCCTCCCCGCAGCCACCCACCTAACCCCCTTCCATTAGAGCCACAGACTTCCTGTTAAGGTCTCAGAGACGTCAAGACTTAAAGAAAAAAAATAGAAAGGAAAGAAAGTGAGTCAATCAAATGAAGTCAGTCTCTACACATTGAGAAGGAAGAATGAGGAAATTACCAAAAGTGTTGAAAGGGAGAAAGGTGTCTTCCCAGCAATAAAAGGAGGAGGAGGGGGAGGAGGAGGAGGAGGAGGAGGAGGAAGAAAAAAAAGGAGACACAGGTACACACACAGGGTGTCTGGTACCCTGCACTGTCTGAGAAGCCGCAGGGGAAGGAAATGGTTAGGGTGGCTTCTCAGCTGGCCTGGGTGCCAGCCCCTAGTCTAGGGATTGGAGGTGGTAGAGAAAGCCCAGCGACTGTTCCAAGAGCCCCATCTCCCCAGCCACAACTGGCACTTCTGCCTCTCTGCCTCCCACAGACTGAGTCTCAGTCTCCCAGACTCACTATGAGCCAGTGTCTCTTGGTTCCTCTTAGCATTTATAGATCTGACTACCCTCACCAAAGCCTGTGCTGATCCAACTCTCCAGCCTCCTGTAAGAGACACTGCTCTGCTCTGACCTCAAGATCCTGTAGCTCTGATGCCCCACCATGAGCACTTCCTCTTTAAAGCATCAAGGAAGAACAGTCTTGTTTGACCAGCAAAGGACACACACGTCCCAGCAGCCTTTATCCCCTTAGGTAACTCAGTTCTTTCTGGCACCCACTCCTCCCATTCCAACCCTTAAACCCATAGGTTTTTACTCCAGGCCGTTACAGGCTGGAACATAATAATCTGTACCCTCAGACTCAGAAGCCCCATCCTGCATTTTCTGTTATGGACTGAAGTCTCCCTCCAAATTCATATATTGAAGTCTTTTTTAAAAAAATATTTTATTGGGGCTGGAGAGATGGCTCAGCGGTTAAGAGCACTGACTACTCTTACAGAGGACAGAGGCTGGATTCCCAGCACCCACATGGCGGCTACAAACCGTCTTTAACTCCAGTCCCAGGGGAATCCAAAGCCCTCTTCTGACCTCCTCCGGCATTGCACGGGTGCACTCACATAGTGCAGGCAATACACTCATACACATAAAATAAAAATAAATATTTTTTAAAACTATTTTATTTAGTTGTTGTTTTGTTTTTTTTTTTTCTTTTTGAAACAGGGTCTCCCTGTAGCCCCAACTGTCCTGGAACTATGTAGACCAGGCTGGCCTCGAACTTATGAAGATCCACCTGCCTCTGCCTCCCAAGTGCTGGGATTAAAGGTGTGCGCCACAACATCTGGCTTTATTTATTATTTTATGTGTATTCCTGTATTGCCTGCATGTAGGTAAGTGCACCCGTGTTGTGCAATGCCCGTGGAGGTCAGAAGAGGCTGTCAGATCCCCTGGGACTGGAGTTACGGACAGTTGTTAGCTGCCATGTGGGTGTTGGCATTTGAACCCGGGTCTTCTGCAAAAACAACCAGTGTTCTTAACTGCTGAGCCATCTCTCCAGTCCCATATATTGAAGTCTTAATACTCAATGTGGTGGGTGGTAGTGGAGATGGAGCCTTTTAGGAGGTAATTAGGTTTAGATGAGGTCATGACGGTGGGACCCGGATGGGATGTGCCCTTTTTAAGAAGAGACAGTAGAAAGCACTCCTCCTGTCTCCCTTCCTCCTTCCCTCCCTCTTTCCCATGTAGTGACACAGCTAAAACATAACCAGTCTACAAGCCAGGAAGAACTCCCTCCAAAGAGAACCAAATGGGTCAGCATTTTGATCTTGAATTTTCCAGTGTCTCCATCCATAAGAAATGTTTCTGTTGTTTAAGCCACTCAGTCTATGGTATCTTGTCATAGCACCCATAACTGATCCATATACTTTTTCACATTGTGAACATGCTTAACAGGCTCTTCTGCCTATAAACAAGCATGAATTCCCACAAGGACACTCTTCTCTGAGTCGCAGTCTCTCGTCCTGTCTGTATATACACAAATAATATACAGTCATAATCATACACAAGAAACTTGCATGCATGTGAATGCACACACATGCACACACAGTATGTGTGCCAATTCAGTCACACACACAAGTGAAGTGTATACACAGAAAGTCACAAATATGTCCACACAATATACATGTATGTCCAAACTGTATACACACATAGACATGGTTCAAAGGCCATAAGCCCATCTTTACCAGTTGCTTGCACCATGCACAGCTGGGGTGTGAGAGGATGCACTTCTGGCAAGAGGAAGCTGGCTGGCAGGACCCCAGCAGAGACAGGTCAGGATCCCCCCATTCTGTGGTCTCCCCTGAGGATGCAATCTTGGTATCCAACTTACTCTCGCCTCTGCCCAGAACCAGCAGGAAACTGAGAACGACCCAGAAAACCATCATGGCCTGTAACAGAATACAAACAAGGATATGTGGATCCTCAGGGAGGACCCCAAGTTCTAGTGCTCTAAACTTGGCTTGTGGTTGCAACTCTGAACTCCACCCCAACTCCTTATCTCTCCTCATAGTTTCACATCCCCCTACAGATTCAACAGCTTCTTCAAAATGGTGGGAAGGGACAGGCACCAGGCCAGGGGAGAGATCTCAGAGATCTGTGTTTCCTTTCTTCAGACTTCACATAGCCAGGGTATACAATGTGACCCAAGGAAAGATCTGGAAGCTGGAGATCTCAGCAATTAATATTGAGGACTGCTCTTCCAGAGGACCCAAATTCAGTTCCCAACACCCATGTTGGGAAGCTCACAACTGTCTGCAACTACAGTTCCAGGGAAACCCAATACCTCTGGCATCCACGGGCACTGCACTCAGGTACACATACACACACAGAGACATATATACACATAATTAAAAAATAAAGCCAGCTGGGTGTGGTGGCACATGGCTTTAGTCCCAGCACTCGGGAGGCAGAGGCAGGCAGATCTCTGTGAGTTCAAGGCCAGCCTGGCACTACAGGGAGACCCTGTCTCAAAAAAAAAAAAAACAACCAAAACTGGGGCTGGAGAGATGGCTCAGTGGTTAAGAGCACTGGTTGTTCTTGCAGAAGACCCGGGCTCGAATGCCAGCACCTACATGGCAGCTAACAACTGTCCGTAACTCCAGTTCCAGGGGTCTGACAGCCTCTTCTGACCTCTGTGAGCATTGCAGGACACAGGTACACTTACCTACACACAGGCAATGCATGCATACACATAAAATAAAAATAATAAATAAAAATAAATAAATAAATCCAGGCTGTGTCCAAGTACACCTTTAATCCCAGCACTCAGGAGGCAGAGGCAGGTAGACCACTGTGAGTTTGAGGCCAGCCTGGTCTACGTAGTAAGTTCCAGGTCAGCCAGGGCTACATAGTAAGACTTTTTCTCAAAATAATAATTAATAAGTAGAAATAGAAGGAGAGGGTCTGGAGTATTAAGGGCTACACCGAGATCTCATCACCAAGAATCCAAGATGTGGTGAAGGTAGAATGGGATGGGAAGCACGTCAGCTTCCTCTCTGGGCCTTAGTCTCCACATCCGTAAAGCAAAGAAACTGAACAAATAATCTGACAGCCTTAAAGCCTTGCAGCTTTCACAGCCTTAAACTCTAAATAAGAGAAGGTCAGTGTCTTGGTTAAGCTTCACTTGTCAACTTGGCACGTGTAAGAAGAGAGAACCTCAACTGAGGATTTGATTCTGTCAGAACTGTCTGTGGGCATGTCTGTGGGTCATTTTTCTCAGATGCTGAATGATGTAGGAGGGTCTGGCCCACTGTGGGCGGCGTCATCCACAGGCAGGTGTTCCTGGGCTGGATAAGAGAAATAGCTGAACAACTTAGCAAGCAGCATTCCTCCATGGTCTCTGCTTCAGTTCCTTCCTCCAGCACCCTGCCCTGCTTGAGCGCCTGTCCTGGCTTCTCTCTATGAAGGACATACTATAAGCTGAAATAAACTCTTTCCTCCCCAAGTTGCTTTTGGTCAGTGTTTTATCACAGCATCGGAGACGCAAATGACAACAGTGAGCGAGTGGGAAGGAAAGGAAAGAGCAGACAGCAGAGTGTGTAGTAACGGAAGGGTGGTCCCACATAACTCAGCAGCCAGAGGAAACATGGCTACTAAGAAGACACTCTTCTTAATGTCGATTTTCTTTCTGTTAAACACTTATTTAATTGGGGGTTAGGGATAGAAAGCATGATTATGATGGACAAGGTCCTAGATAACATCCTCAATACTATAAATATAGATAGATAAAGAAATAGGTCTGTGTGAGTTTGAGACCAGCTGGGTCTCCACAGTGAGTTCCAGGGAGGCCAGGGCTACATAGTGAGACTCTGTCTCAAAATTTTTTCAATATTTTATTTATTTATTTTATTTATTTAATGTGCCTGAGTGTATTGCCTGCATGTACACCTGTGTCATGCAAAACCTGTGGAGGTCAGAAGAGGGCTTTGGATTCCCTTATAACTGGATTTAGGATGGTCATTAGCCACTGTGTGGTGCTAGGATTCAACCTTGGGTCCTTTGCAAGAGCAGCCAGTGCTCTTAACTGCTGAGCCATCTCTCCAGCCCCTCAAAGAAACTTAATTTAATTTTAAAATGTTAGCCCAGTTCAGTTCCCAGTGCCCACATGGCAGCTAACAACCATCCGGCACTTGGTGCACTTACACACATGCAAGCAAACACTCATATGCATAAAATAAAAATAAACCAAAAAAAGGTTTTCTGGTTTGGTTTTTTTTTTTTTTTTTTTTTTGGTCTTTTTGAGACAGGGTCTCCCTGTAGCCCCAGCTGTCCTGGAACTCACTATGTAGACCAGGCTGGCCTTGAACGCACAGAGATCTGCCTGCTTCTGCCTCCGAGTGCTGGGATTAAAGGCATGCACCACCATGCCTAGCTCAAAAAAAAGTTTTAATGTTAGCCATATGTGGTGGTACACACCTGTCATCCCATTACTTTGGAGGTAGAGGCAGGAGAATAGGAGTTCAAGACCAGCTTAGGCTACATAAAACCTGTCCCAAAATTTTTAATCAATTGCCGGGCATGGTGGCGCACGCCTTTAATCCCAGCACTCGGAGGCAGAGGCAAGCGGATCTCTGTGAGTTCAAGGCCAGCCTGGTCTACATAGTGAGTTCCAGGACAGCTGGGGCTACAGGGAAACCCTGTCTCAAAAAGACCAAAAAAAATTTTTTTAATCAATTAATTAATTAAAAATAAAGTCATAGATCAGTCAAAGCAGTGTGATACTGACATAAAGATAGACATATAAATCCATGGACTAGAACTGAAGGTGCAGGGCCAAGTATGGTGGTGCATCTCTTTAATCCAGCACTCAGGAGGATGAGGCAGTGATCTCAATGAGGTCAAAGCAAACTTCATCTATATAGTGAGTTTCAGGCCAGCTAGGGCTGCATAGTGAGACCCTGTCTATGAAAGAAAGAAAGAAAGAAAGAAAGAAAGAAAGAAAGAAAGAAAGAAAGAAAGAAAGAAAGAAAGAAAGAAAGAAAGAAAGAGAGAGAGAGGGGGGAGGGAGGGAGGGAGGGAGGGAGGGTAAAATAAAAGAATAGAATAAGAAATAAGCCATTTATGGCAAGTTGGTTTTTGAATGAGAGTCAGTAACAAACGGTGCTAGGGTGATAGGTATCCACATGCAAAAGAGTGAGGTAAAAACTCTACCTCACACAAAAGTAAACAGAGGTTTTTTGGACTCTAAATATAAGCACTAACTGGGTGTGGCATACACCTGTAACCCCAGTACTCAAGAGGCTGAAGCAGGGGAATCCAGAGTTCAAGAGCAGCCTCAACTACCTAATCTTTGAGACCAGCCTGCGCCAAATTTTTTAATTTAATTTAAAAATAATTTCCATATGAATTTCCATTGTATGGGTAAATCATATAGTAGTTTACCAATACTGTAATTATGGGTCTCTAGTTTCAATTCCCAACTCCACATTTTTTTTTTTTGCTCTTTTTTTTTTCTGTCTTGTTTTTGAGAGAGGGTCTCCCTCAAAAGGCACCCCCAGCTGACCTGGAACTCACTCTGGCTGGCCTTGAACTCACAGAGATCCACCTGCCTCTGCCTTCTGAGTTCTGGGATTAAAGGCGTGTACCAACCACACCCAGCTAAAACTTTAATATAAAAACTTAATTATCAGCCGGGCGTGGTGGCACATGCAGGCAGATCTCTGGGAGTTCAAGGCCAGCCTGGTCTACATAGTGAGTTCGAGGCCAGCTGGGGCTACAGGGAGACCCTGTGTCAAAAGACCAAAAACAACCTTAATTGTCTACTATTATAAATCCACAAGAGGCGCGCACTTATCATTTCACACATGTGCAGATGACTCTGGAGGAACCTTCTGGAAGAGATGTAGTGACAGCAGGCAGCCATCATTTGCAACACTGGTAATGACTGCCAATATACGCTTCCTAGATAAGGTTCTATGGTGTTCCTATGGTCACCAGCAGCATATGAGAGCCTGCCATGAAATGTTCACGTTCTCCTCAGCCTGGGTCCAGAGTCAGGTACTGATGCTCTCAGGGGTGGGGTGCTGAGTCGTTGAACGCTTCATCCTGCTCCCCACCCCCAGTAACCTCAGGTGGGTGTAGTATATAACGGAGTCTCTACTCTCAGGGGGAGGCTGGCCCCTATCTTAGCCTCAATGAAACCTCAGCCCTACTTGTTTGTGTGCTGTGGTCAGGGAGGCTGGAGGTGCTGCAGCCCAAAGCCCAGCTTTGACTCATCTCATAGACCAGCCCCGCTACCACCCTAGTTCAAGAATGGGGCAAACCTAGAGGCCTCAAGTCCACTCCTCTCTCCTAAAGGGCACTCTGAGCTCATGCACAGCTATTCCCACTCCTCTCTGTTCTTCCTCTTCTTTGGCGACCCATGGGTCCTGTCCCCTGCTTCTCTCAGTCTGTCTCTCCTCTCCCTTTCTTTTTTTTTTTTAATTGTATTTTTTGAGACAGGGTCTCCCTGTAGCCCCAGCTGGCCTGGAACTCACTATGTAGACCAGGCTGGCCTGGAACTCACAGAGATCCTCTTGCCTCTGCCTCACAAGTGCTGGGATCCTACTAAAGATGACTCAGTGGTTAAGAACACTGACTGCTCTTGCAAAGGACCTGGGTAACATGGCAGCTAACAACCATCCATAACTCCAGTTCCAGGGGATCCGACAGCCTCTTGTGTCCTCTTGCACGACACAGGTACACTTACTTATATGCAGGAAATACATGCATACACATAAAATAAAAATAATAAATAAAAAATACTAAAAAAATAATTTTTAAATGAAATTTTTGATTATATCGCTCTGCTCTTTCCTCTACTTCTTCACAGTTCTTTACTTCCTTCTCTGTGATCCTAATCAGAGAAGGGAAGACCATCTACTTCAGCCTCCTCTTTGCAAAAAGAAACCTAAGTCCTTTAGCAGTGAGCCAAGGGCACACACTACGCAGGAAGGGGTGCAGGGCCTGAGGTAGCTCAAGCCTCCTCTCCACGGTGGTCCATCATCATCTTCTGCTGCTGGCCCCATGGGACTCTACCGTATCCCATTTTCTTTTCTTAGGGAACCCCTCCAAGTCTTCCCTTTTCCCTCTGTAACCAAATGATTGTCCCATTTTTCTGGATTCAATTTTCATTCCAGTCCACCCTGCAATGTCCCCTGTTCAAAGATACGTTTTGCCTCTAATGATTCCTTGTCAACCTAAGTAAAATTTTTTCAGATCCTGAGAATCAAACTCAGGGCCTCATATATTCTAGGCAAGTAAGCTACAGTTATAGCCCATAAATTCTGTTTTAATTATGGCAATTGTTTGCTGTTTGTTGTTGGTTTTTTTGGGTTTTTTTTTTTGCTCATTTTTTTGTTTTGTTTTGTTTTGTTGTGTTGTGTGGTTTGGTTTGGTGTTTTTGAGATGGAGCTTCTTGCTATGTAACCCAGGCTTGCCTTGAACTGCTGGCAATCCTCCTACCTCAGCCTCCCAAGTACTGGGATCACAGGTCTGCAGCACCACACCCAGCTTTGGAGTAGCTCTCTTCTCTGCTTTTGCCTGTACTTTCATAGACTCCTTTTGCTTATTTTTGTTTACCTGCTGTTTGTGCATCTACTGCAACAAGCTGATCCTTTCAAAAAATATTTTTTTCTCACTTGGCTAGTAGTTTACTTAAAGGAAAGATAATCCTTGAGGTAACATTGTTACCACATACTGAGGCTCCACGCTGCATTCCCTTAAACATCGGAGAGATAACCTCTTCCCAACCCATCCATGTCTCCTGTGTGAAGCCAAACTCACTCTGTCGCTCATTGGTAGTTACAAGGAAGGAACAGAACTACATTGCCAACCTCGGTATCCCAGGAACATAGTATCTGTGGCCAAGGTGCCACAGAAGAACTTGGCCTGAAAACAAAGCATCCGGCTGCCAGGGTGGCAGTCAGGTACAGGGGGGTGTTGGAAGAAGCGTACGTTGGTATAAGTCTTGGCCATGGAAGGCATTCAGGAACAGCATTCACACCCCACCTCCTTCCTTCTCCCTGGCCCTACTGGGGGAACTGATGGACAAGAGGTAAAGGGTTGTGATCCTTGGAGAAAGAAAAACAGGAGCAGGGGACCATGGGGATGCAGAAAGGAGTTCACAGCCTTTTTCGGGACAAGTTAGAGAGTCCAGGTCAGAGCCTTCTTCCCAAGAAGTAGGGAACAGATGAGCCTGGGCTTGTGAGGAGAAGAGGCAGGAGGGCCAGTGCCCTGGCGGTACTCACAGGTGCATGCGAGCAGCCCTTCCTCTGGTGGTGACAGCAGCAGCAGCCTTTGGGTACAGATCTGGAGGCTGCAGAGGAGGAAGTGGCACGCCCTGGGGTGGGGGACTTTTAGAGGGTGGCTGCTCTAGAAGGTGGAGCACACAGGAATAGGCTGGGTCTAGATGTGAGGACCTGGAAGAAGGAGGCCCTTCTAGTGAGCACCTCTTACATGCTGGACTAAATTACAGTTAAGGATCACAAGAACTGTGTCACATAGGTAGTGGTACCCTGACCTCTGGCCCAGTCTCACAGAGAATGAAGTTGGGAGGCAAAGGATGATCAACTTTGTAGAAGGTCACACAACTAGCTGGGCTGGGCTAGAATTTAAATCCATGTCAGCCTCCCTCCAAAACAGATGATCTCTCCACTTCCTTGTAGAGGAAGGCGCCAGATAGGAACACAAAGGTAGTCAGTACTGGAGGGGAGGGAATGAGATTACTGTTCCTTTTTTTAAAAATATTTTATTTATTTTTATTTTATGTGTATGAGTGTATTGCTTGCATGTATGTGAGTGCACCCATGTCATGCAATGCCGCGGAGGTCAGAAGAGGGCTTCAGATTCCCCGGAACTGGAGTTAAGGATGGTTCGTAGCCGCCATGTGGGTGCTGGGAATCAAACCCGGGTCTTCTGCAAGAGCAGTCAGTGCTCCAAGATTACGGTTCCTTTTGAAAACCCAGGGACCACTGTAGCATAACTTAACTACTTGGGATCTGGAACCAATCTGCCAGAGCTCAAATCCTGGCACTCCTTTACCAGGAAGTAGTAAAACCCCTTAGCCATGTTCCTTAAACCTTCCTGTGACTACATTCTCATCTATCAAGTGCAGTCAGGATTGTGGTGGAAAGAATTAAATGAGGTCGGTACAGTGGCACATACCTTTAACCCCAGACTGAGGAGGCAGAAGCAGGCAGATTTCTGTGAGTTTGAGGCCAGCCATGGCTACACAGTGAGACCCTGTCCCCCCCAAATTTTTTTTTAATTGTTTGATGAGATAATTTCTATAAATTACTTACAAGAGTACCTGACTCAACAAGAGACCCACGGGCTGGGAACGTAACACAGTAGTAGGGTGGTTGCCTAGCATTCATGAGGCCCTGGGTTTGTCTCCATCACTGGGAAAGGGAAGAGGGAGGGAGGGAGGGAGGGAGGGAGGGAGGGAGGCAAGGAGGGATGGAGCAAAGAGAATCAGTAGGAATGAGAGGTCAAGAGGCTTTGAGAGAAACTCAAGGACTACACAGCTGGCAAGCTGGAAAGAGGCACGGGGCCAGGCTTGGAGAATATGACTGGGGCTGAGGAGCCAAGACAGTAGTAGAGCCTGGGAAAGGGTGGAGGCGGAAACAGTCAGGCAGAGTGCAAGAACAGCAGCTGGGGCTGAGGCAGGACAGAGCCTATAGGAAGAATGGGTTGTGTAAGTACAAATGGGATTCATCCCTGGCCCACACTTGATACTGAGAGCTCTGAGAGGTACCTGGTGGGGGTCCCCTACCAGAAGGGCAAGAACTAGGGCTGTCAGCCTCCCTGCCTGTAGCCACAGCGGAGACCAGTGGCCATATCAGTGGGTACTCCTAGAAGTGAAGCCGCTGGAAAGAAGCAATGAAGAAGTGAATGGACTGGAGGGCCTCTGGGTGAGCCTGGGCTGACCTTCTGCCCTTCCCCCGTAGTCAGGAGTTACCATGGCAATGCCCTCCTTCCCCTAGCCCTGTGGTTTCCTCTAAATTGTCTTTCACTTTCTTCTTCTGCTTCCCCCACTCATCTCTCCTCCCCTATCCCACATCCTCAGCCCCCTTGCCATACACTCAGGTCACCGGTGAAGAAAGCCAGGGATGAGGTAGGCAAATCATTGTCCCAGGGCAGAAGTGGGCAGACGGCTACAAGGGCAGTCAGAGAGGGCAAAGGGCAGGGGTAGGGGGCAGTGGCCTGGTAAAGGGATGAGGCTGAGGCAAGGTCTGCAGGAGAAAGGACAGAATATTAGGAGAGAAAGTAACCATGGGTTATGGAATGAGTGGAGGTCCTAGGTGAAGAGTGGGCTCGGGAGTGGCGTGAGTGCGTCATGACATGAGAGTGTAGTCACAGAGGGTGGGAGGGCTCCCTGAGGGGCTAGTAGCAACAATTATTAAGTAGATAGGAGTGGTGGCATAGACCTGTAGTCCCAGCATTCAAGGGGCTGAGGTAGGAAGTTCATGAGTTGGAGGCCAGCTTGGGATACACAGTGAGACCCTGTCTCAAACAAACCAAACTTAAAAGCAGTTCTCCTCCAGACACAAGGGCAACTGTGCAAGTCAAATGAAACTTCAGGGGATCCTTGACCAGAGTAGGACAGATATAAACATACTCATAGTGTGAGGCCATAGGATCCTGCCTAAGGTAAAAACCCACTGGTGACTGGGAGCGGTCAGATGCTCAGGGTAGGCCCCTGAAGCTCTCAGCCCTCCCTTCTCACTGCCCTCCCAGCACATTTCATATTTTCTTTGCTCCCCTAAGAAAACTGTGAAGTCCAATAGCTTAGCAGCTCCCCACCCAGGTTCCTTCTCCAGGTCAGCAGGTCACTTCCTAGCCCCCCCCTTGTTCTGGAAGGAGCCACATCCCATGAGTTTCCACCACTTTATTTTGCAAAAATAGAAAACTCAGCAATATGCGATACAGCGGGGTGAAGGGGAGATGTAAACAGAGGGGAGGGGACAGCACCCTGACCCCCCAGAGAAAAAGGGGAGATGGCTGGTGGGAATCTTATTTGGCAGCTAAATACAAACTGGGGGTTGGAGAAAGAACAGGGGTCACAGAGGCCCTGGGCTCCCCCTCCCAAGACCCCTGGAGGAAGGGGTCATTCCGGGGTGTAAACAAAAGCTAATAAATAAATAGAGGCTTCCTTTGGGTCAGGGTAGGATCAGCTAAGCAGCATCTCCCCTCCCTGGGCCAAGCTGCTCTGGGGATCAAGGGTACAAGGCACTAGGAAAGGGATCCCTGGCCCCTCTGTAGTGTAGGCGGGTCCCTGTCTGATGGCTGAGATGGGGGACAGGAGGCCAAGGCACATGACAGGGCTAAGGGAGGGGTTTATAAAATGGAGAGTACAGGGTGAGCACTGCACCCCAGCAAAGACATACAGAATGGACCTGCATCTCTCCCTTCACCCTCAGGCCCCACCCCAGAAATAGAGGGTCTGGCCCACCCTCACAAGAGGATGGGACACAGAGGGCAGTGTGCAGGGGAGGTTCATCACACAGTGTTAGGCACCAAGGGTAGGGCACAAGGGTGGGCACAGCCCTCCTTGGGGGCCCCCCTTTCCCCTTTTTGGTCTCTAGTGTTCCTGTTTGCTCCCAGAGGCCCAAGCACCTGGCAGAGGAAAGGACTGTGGGATGGCAGGGCTTCCTCCTGTCTGGGGAGCCTGCGGCCTGGATCTGAAGGGCAGTGCTGAGATTTTAGTCCAGACCTAGACTCACCCCTCCTCCAGCTTTCCTGGTGGGCGCAAGGCAGGCCCCCAGGACTGGAGAGGGAGCCAGTTAGCGCAGGGCAGGGATGAACACAAGCATCCCCTGGAAACTTTGGCAAAACAAGGAGCTCATTGGAAGGGTGAGGAGTGGGCAGAGCAGGTCCTTTCCCAGTCACTAGCAGTGTCTGGGAAATGGTCAGTCTGCTGCCTAGAGCCCAACCTCACAGCAGGGGAGGTCAGGGGCCCTTGTCAGGTTGGGGACTTTGGCCTCCTTTGTTCTGGCCCCCAGGAGCTTCATCCTCACTGGAAGCCTTAGGGTGGGGACCAGGCTGCGAGGAGTCGTCCTCAAACATTTCGGGGTTCTCCAGCATTTCTCGGATCAAGGGGGGCATGGGGCCTGGAATCTCCATCTTCAGGGTAATGGCCCTTTCTGCTCCTACAGTGGAGAAGTGGAAAGAGGCTTGAAAAAGGAGAAGCAGGTGGCTAAAAGACCCTCCCTAACCTTTCTTGAATTGACTTCCCTGAGACTCCCCATGGGTTGCTTCCAGCACAGACCAGCCACTTCTCTGTATCTAGCACACCTTCTTTTGTGTGTTTCTAGGTACCTACCACCTTGCCTAGAACCTGCACTTGACCTTTTCCTAGCCTCTGCCTATTTGTCTCATTCTTGTTTTTTGGTTTTGTTTTGTTTTTTTCTTTTTGGTTTTGGGACGGGATCTCCCTGTAAGTTCAGCTGGCCTGTCTCACAGAGCGCAGCCTGCCTCTGCTTCCCAAGTGCTGGGACCAAGGTGTGCGCCACCATGCCCAGCCGCCTGTGTCATTCTTTCAGCCTTTTTCTTTGCCTTGCTCCTTTTCTAAATGTTTTGTTTTAGTTTGTATTTTATTTATTTGTATTATATATATATATATACACATACACATATATGTGTGTGTGTGTGTGTGCGTTCTGAGTGTTTTGCATGTGTGTATGTAAGTTTACCACATGTGTGCAGTGCCTGTCTGCAGAGACCAGAAGAGGGCATCAGATCCCCTGGAACTGGAGTTATGGATGGTTGTTAGCCACTATGTGGGTGCTGGGAGCTGAACCCGGGTCCTTTGCAAGACCAGTCAGTGCTCTCAGCTGCTAGGCCATCTCTCCAGTCCCAGCTCCTTTTTTTTAGAGACAGGGTCTCACTCCATCCAGGAGACTCTGCCTAGCCTGGAACTTGCTCTTTAGAGCAGGATGACCTCAAACTTGCAGCCACGCTCCTGGCTCTGGCTCTTGCGTGCTAGGATTAGAGGTATGTGCCAAAGCACCCGGCTTCAGCCCCTCCTTTTCCTTCTTTTTTTTTAATGGGGTCTTGCTATATTGTTTGACTGGCCCTAACCTTGAACATGTTGCAGTCTTCCTGCCTCCGTCTCCTGTGTGCTGGAATTACAGGCATGTAACTACCATGTCTAACTTTCAGGATGTCTTTTCAAAGACTATACTACTGTAGGCAGGCAAGATGGTTTAGTGGGTAAAGTGTTTGTAGCACAAGCCTAACAACCTGAGTTTGATCCCCAGGACACCACATTGTGGAAGGAGTTATCCTAACCTCCACATGCAAGCCATTACACACACACACACACACGCACACACACACGCACACACACGCACAAAATAAAGAACTGTAAAATTTCTTTTTTTTTTTAAACCACACTGTATGTAACTCCTAGCCCCAATGTCCCATACCCTTAGGTCATTGCTGTTGTCTCCTCCTCCTCTTACTCCTCTTCCTTCTCCTCCTCTTCTTGAGACAGTGGGATCCTGTCTTGTTATGTAGACCAGTTGGCCTCAAAGTCACTGAGATCTGCCTGTCTCTGCCTCCTGGGATTAGGGATGTATATTGCCTGTTTTTAATAATTTGTATAACAGATAATGCTTATCAAACCCAGGCTGCAGAGATGGCTCACTGGTTAAAGGCACTTGCTGCTCTTGCAGAGGACTGGACAGCTCCAAAGGATCTGATGCCCTCTTTTGGCTTCTGTAGGCGCCCACATGCATGTGTGTATTCTCATGCCCCTGCTGGCCTGGAACTTACTATGTAGCCCAGGCTGGCCTCCAACTCACAGAGATCCGCCTGCTTTTGCCTCCCAAGTGCTGGAATCAAAGGCGTGCACCACCACGCCCGGCTTTTATGTCTGATTTATATACATAAATGTTTATGAACACTTACTATGTCCTAGGCACTATCCAACAGAACTTTCTGTGATGATGGAAATATCCTCTCAGTCCAGTACAGGGAGTCACTAGCCACATGTGGCTAGTGAGCACATCAAGTGTGGCTGTTGTAAATAGAGAACTGAATTTTTAACTCATTTTTCTTTTGCTTTGTGCTTTTGAGACAAGGTCTCATTGTGTAGCCCAGACTGGCCTTGAACTCACAATCCATCTCTCCCAGCCTCCCAAGTTCTGAGATTTGTAAGTATACATTACCATAACTAGCTTTTTTTTTTTTTTTTTTTCGGTGGTTTTTTTTATACGGGGCTTCCCTTAACCCCTGGCAACCTCG